CCACCCCCACCCCCCACAAACCATCCAAATGAAAGGGTGACCTAAACCTTTTAAACTTGTATGAAATTTTGACATTTGTCCTAAAATCCCTTCTTCTTGAAACCATTTCTATCTAATTCTTTAATTTAATGACTCGACCCATATTTGACTCGACTCTTACAATTTTTCAAGAGGGTATTTTCCAAATGTTATATTGACACAACTTTATAAATATGGAAAAATGGTATAGCATACTTCTAATAATTGTGTCGTCATGCGATCTAAATGATGGTCTGAAAAGAGGAACATAAATCACTTTTCGACACGTCTTTGTGAGTGTATCGGAATTTCAAATTTCACAAGTCAAACTAAAGGTTATTATCCATGAAATTTCTAGTGAATTTTGAAACTCTAATACTTGTAGTTTGTTTTTCAATTATTGGAACTTAAAAGTAGCTATTTTTGTAATATTTTCCTAACCTTTCTATAAGTTGAAAACTGCAAAGTGTACTACATGTGCAAATATTCAAGAACACCCACCTGGTACTTTAATGGGCCAACTAAAAGCCCAAAAAATTGAAATTCAAGTGGACCAAAAGAAGAATTAATCTGAATAGCCGCACCCGATTGAGAAAATTTAAAATAGGTTGCGGATATATAATATATGTATACGCATATATAATATGCATATAACCATATATAATCAGGGAATAATTTACTTATATCGACTATGAAAAGTTAATTGTGAATCTGTCTAGCTATTTGCGTAAATATTCCACAAGAAACCAAAAGGCAACAGTTAATAAGTTTCAAATTTCATTGATAAAATTTGCCACTAATAAATTAAGGCATCGTAGAGGAAGCTGAATAATAATCATTTCCTACTATTTTCCTTTTTAAGCAAAACGAAAAAAAAAAAGATGTCCCAAACACATTTTAAGTTTTAACAAAATAAAAAGTCAAGAAAAATATTTTAATAAGTAAAGATAATGAATAACGTCTTTTTCTTGCGGACTAAAATGGACCAAATTAATTGAGTGCCCAACTTAAAATAAGATTATTATTTATTATCATTATTTATTATTATTAATAGAAATAAATTGACTTGTAATACCTTTTCAAGTATTACTATAATCCAAGATTAAATGATGATGATGATCTAAGTTTTAGAGGTCATATTTTTGCAAGGCTGTCCACAGTTCAAGAAAAATTGAAAAAGATAATAAGCCCACTTGTTTAAGAAAATTACTTGTAGTGCCTTTTTTTTTAGTAATTGTAAGAACTAAAGTTGTATATTTTGTGTATATTAGTTTAGGACTTAATATTCTATAACTAGTCCTCCCATTGGGGACCTATGTGGAATTCCTTTTCTTCGTTTGGTCATTCTGTAATTAACAGAAGTTGGAGGGGGCGTCGATGGAATAAAACTTTGCACCTTGTGATGGTGGTACTTTTATATCGACCATGGTTGTTGCGGCTGTAAGAGTCATCGGAGTCCAATGCTATCGCCTTTAACCGCCTCTTTGTTGATAAGTCCCTCGGCTTCTTAATGAAGTTCTTCGAGGTCCCAATAACCTACAAAAATTGAGTTGATATCGACTATATAGATCATTTTGTTCTATTTGGACCAATTCAATTCATATAATATGTTATTGAATATCAAAGACATGTAATACTCAAGATTTGAGTATTATTTTCAAATTCGAGTACAAAATAAATGCAAGAAAGGATCATTGACTTTTATGTTGCCTGAATTCTTCAAAAATAATGTCAGACGCTTATTAGATCCTCAAAATGCTAAAAAATAAATAAATTTGGAGGATCGAGTGAGACAACAAAATATTAAGTGTGTGCAATATATATAGGGGTGTGCATCGGTCGGTTCGGTTCGGTTTTATGTATTATTGGTTCGGTTTATCGGTTTTCAATTTTTAAATATGTTAAACCAATAACCAAACCAATAAGATATTTTTTATCGGTTTTCGGTTTATCAATTTTGGTCCTTAACGATTCGGTTTTTGGTTTAACCAATAAAAAAATACTTATAAAATAAATATATGACTTTTCTAATAAATTTGATGCGAAAATACAATAATGTAACTTTACAAATGCTCATAAAATAGAAACAATAATAACAAACATGAAAAGAACTATACAAGTGTAACACAAAGAGAAATTAAGAAGAATAGAGTTCTTACTTTAGATTTTAATGTTTTGTATAATGTGAGAATGTGAACTCAAAGTCATTGTTAAGTGTGAATTGAAAGCTAAAAGACAAAGATAGTAACTAGTAAGATATTGAGATTAATATATATAATATTTATGTACAAGTAAAAGTAGTAAATTACTAGTCTTAATGGGTTATCGGTTTACCCAATAACCCAATATTAAAAATCAATACAAACCGATAATCCAATAATTTTTTTTATAAAACCATTAAAAAATCGTTAACCCAATACCCCAATAACAATAAACCAATAACACTTTTATCGGTTCGGTTTTTGCACACCCCTAGCAATATATGTACTAATAATGTGAAGTTCTTGTTTAATAAGAGAGAATATATGCAAATTTGTAGTTCCATAAATGCTATAAGAAGGACAACAAGGAAAGGCATAAAACGCGCACTACAAATGCGATTTATCAACAAAATGTGAAATTTTCTTGCTAGCGTGTGAAATCTAGAAAATATGTTATAAAATATTCATGTGTTATTTTACATTATTTTTAATTCGTCATTATCTATTTCTTATTTATTTTTTCTTCTTCAAATATCTACATTGTTTGTTAAAAAAAACACTATATTAACTAACTTAAATTCATAACCTTAATATAAAAATAAATAAATGTAATCATAAATCATGACTGAAGTTTTAAGAAAATATAAGGTCAAGAAAAATATTTTAATAAGTAAAAGATAATGAATAACGTCTTTTTCTGGCGGACTAAAATGGACGAAATTAATTGAGTGCCCAACTTAAAATAAGATTATTATTATTAATTATCATTATTTATTATAATAGAAAGAAAGTGGCTTGTAATACCTTTTCAAGTATTACTATAATCCAAAATTAAATGATGATCTAAGTTTAGAGGTTCATATTTTTGCAAGGCTGTCCACAGTTGAAGAAAATTTGAAAAAGATAATAAGCCCACTTGTTTAAGAAAATTATTTGTGCCTAAAAAAAACGTCTTTCGTTTTCCATCCTTCTCAGTTTTTGCCATCATCTTTAACAAGCTTTTGGTCTTTTTTTT